CGCCTCACCACAGCGGCTCTGGGAAGTGGGTGGCCAGGCCATTGTCCTTGTCTCTGTTCTGCTGACCTGCGAGTCTCAGGCCCAGCCCTGGCTGCTCTCTTTCCAGCTGCAGTTCCCAAACTGTGTGCTAAGGTACCCTGGGACGCCACAGCAAATTCCCAGGGTGTTGCAGAATATCACACCTGTAATCCTGGGTCTCAGGGAGGCCAAGGTGGAGGGTGACTGGAGCCCAGGGGTTCAAGACCACCAGCCTGGGCACCATGGTGAGACCCTTGTCCCTACCAAAAATATATATATATTTTTAAAGAAAGTACAATTGAGTCTTGAATGACATGGGGGTTAGGGGTACCTATCCCCTGCAAAATCCAAAACATGAGCATAACTTTTGACTCCCCGAAAACGAAACTACTAACAGCTTCCTGGTGACCAGAAGCCTTGCAAGTCCACATACCATCAGGACAGGATGCAGGCCACGTGTGCCCTCCACTGTGTTCCTTCCACACACTCAGCTGGAGAAAGGAAACTCCTGCTCAAAAAAACCAGAAAAGAAACCAGATTCACAGTTGATGAGGTGGCAGTGGGTCCTCACGGAGGTGCTCTGTGGAGGGGCTGCAGAGGAAGACAAGGCGGGCTCAGTCTCGTGGTGGCAGGGTGGCGGAGGCAGGAGAAGTCCCTGTGTGAGTGACCCACACCGGGCACACCTGTGCTGTTCACAGGTCAGCTGCCCTGTGTCACATCACCTGGAATACAATACAATTCATTTATTTTAACTACTGTGAAAATTTTCAAATAGCTACTAATCATTCAGTTGTTGGACCTAATTACTTAATAAACAAAGCCCTTAGGTATTTCTTTTAGCCTGAGGAGATGGGGGAAAAAATGGCTATAAGTTGTTTTCTTGGTTTATTTTATTTTATTTAGAGTCAGTGTCTCACTCTGTCACCCAGGCTGGAGTGCAGTGATGCAATCACAGCTCCGTGCAGGCTTCAACTCCTCAGCCCAGGTGGTCCTCCCATCTCAGCCTCCCAAAGTGCTGGGATTACAGGTGTGCACCACCGCACCTGGCCAATTGAAAGTTTTGACCTGAAGAACCCACTCCTTGTGGAAGAGGCGTTTGAAGAGTGATCCCCACAAGGGTCAGGGAAGTTTCTAGAAGGGACCAACTTCCAGTGGAGCCAAGGGCGAGTGTGGAGGGCACTCCGTCTTCTGACCCTAGACTACTACCCCATCCGGCTGCAGCTCCTTCTGGGGTCCCTCAGCCAGAAAGCCCCCAGAGCCTGGAACTCTCTTTCTGCCCAAACCCCTTCCCTGCTTTCCCCCAACTTCTTTTTGCTCAAAAGAGGAAAATGAAGGAAGCAAAAGATAACCAGTTAGTGTCTGAAATCCTGCCTTGCTCCACCCATAACGGATTCATAGCCGCTGTAGACAGGGAACTCACTACCTCACACAGCAACCTGCCCAGCACAGGCGCCTTCCCACATGGCTCACCCCACCCAAGCAGAGGTCTTCCAGAGCTCCTGGGGTGGGCAGCACCTCTAACCCCAGGAGGCCTGTTCTGGAAGGAGCACCTCCCTGGGCCCTCCAGCATCATCCATACATGGGGAGTTTTGCTTCATCAAACACGTGGCTGGCGGCTCAGGGCTCAGCTCCAGACCTGCCTGGCTGCCAGGCCTTCTCACACCACCCCCCTCTCAGGACCACGGCCCTTTCTGATGCGGCTTGTAAGGTCTCACCCACCTCCCCCTTCCCACCTGTCGGAACGCGGGTCTTTGTCCCGGCCAACAGGGAGGTCTGTGGAGACAGAGTCTCAGTCACCTATCAGCACCCACCCGGAATGCCCCCAGGAGCTTGCCCGATGCCCTGACCCCCACACCAGCGCCCTCCCAGTCCCAGGGGCAGTGCTCAGGTGGGACTCAGACCTCGCAGGATGGTCAGGGACAGCTCCCGTTAGGTGCCAGCAGAGGGCGCTTCCAGGGAGGCCCCTCGCCTTCCGCTGCACGCAAGCAAGGGCCCAGAGGTGCTGTCCCAGCACCACCCGAGCCTCGAAGACACTCAGGGCAGCCCCTCAGGCCCCTGCCACCCAGCTGGGGTCCCACCCTTGCTCACCACTCTGCTCTCCACCCCACCCGGCCCAGCCCCACTGACTTGGCTGCTCAGGAGCTGAGGCTCCCAGGAGGCTCACAGGGGAAGGAGGCCCACCTGGTGCAGGCAGGTGCCTGAGCTGGCCCCAGAGCCCGCACCTCCACGCAGCCTGCCCCGGCTCCCAGTACCCTGAGGCACGTTGCTGAGGCCGAGTCTTCAGAAACAGGAGCCCTCACCTGAGAGCCCGGGCTGGAGCTCCTGCCTAGGGCCCCGGCGACTGCTCCTCCCTTCATCTTCTGCAGCCTGGGAAGCGACCGGCTCTCAGTGTGCCCACTGTCAGGTGGCATGGGCAGAGGACGGGGCCTGACGGGGGAGAAGAAAGCAGCCAGGAGGAGGGGCTTGGCAAGCCAAGGAGCAGGAGAGCAGGACGGAGCAGGCTGCCCTCAGTCGCCGGGTCACGGAGGCCCATCCTGCCGGTGGGCACGGCTGCCCTCCTTTGTGTGCAGAGCTGGCATCCTCTGGGGGGCTCCCCATCACCAAGGCTCTAATCCCAGAGCCTCCTTGCTGGGGAGGTGGGGGTGGCAAGAGTCTGCGTGCCTCAGGCTGGGCTGGGGCACCCACCCCACCCGCAGCCCAGGTTTCCCCCCAGTAATGCCATAATTGGGTGGGATTTTTGCTGCGAGGCAAAGTCCAGAGGAGCACAAACACGCTCCCTCCCCTCCCCATCCCTGCCCCCACCGCGGCTTCATTCCAGAGCTCTTCCCTCCTTCCCTCAGAGGGTGGGGGCCTGCAGTACCTCGGAGAAGGGGGTGGGCGGCTGGGCATGCGTAGAGGGAACTGGATTCCCCAGGCAGTGAGGAGCAAAAGGAACTTTTCTTCAGAGAGAACAGCTGTCATTCTGAATTCAGGAAGGGACCCCTGACATAGTCACCAGGTGACCCCCCGGCCAGTGTCCCCAGGATCACAGGCTCCCTCTGCAGATGCAGAGCCAGCTGTGAGTGGGGCACACCGTGGAAAGTGCCTGCCTCGGTCCCCCAGCCAGTGATACAGCTGGGGACAGACATCTCAGCCACCCCGGCCCTGAGAAGCTGCACAGAAGCAGCCCCATGTCCTCCCTGCCTCGCCACGCACCTCCCTCCCGCAACACACATTCTGCAGCCGCATTCGAGGCCCGGCCCACGGGCTGGGCAGTGCAGGATCCCCAGAGAACACAGCACTGACGAGTGCGGGGCTGCTCCTAGCTCTCAGAAGCTCCTGGAGCCTCCTCCCTCAATTCCTACGCGGTAACCAAGATACCTGCTGAGATCAGGTCACAGAGTGACTGCGGGAGGACCAGCGGCGGTGGGAGAGCGCCTGGTAACCACCCCTGTTATCAGGTGCCCCCCGGGGGGGGTGGGGAAGACTGGGGACACTTCCCCTCCACAAATTACAACCTCCCCTGGCGGCTCCCGGGGCTGCACAGGGAAATGCAAATGACTGGGAGCTGGAGAGCTGGCTGGTCACTGGTGACCTTGGGCAAGTCACTTTCCCGCTCTGGTCTTCCCCTCTCTATCAGCAGACTCCTCCAGCTGACCTCAATAATCAGAAATCCCTCTGGCTGAACAGGCTGCGTAGCGCGGGCACACCTGGAGGTCGGTGATCCCAGAACCCGGGGCAGCGCTGCGCTTCACCACGGACCCAGAGCGCCAGGGGCTTCCCTGGTGGAGTGATGGGGAGAAACACGGAGGGGTCAATCCCTGTGCCACACAGTCCCACTCGGCCCCCAACTGTGACTCAGAAGCGCGTGGCTGCACCTTGGAGGTCCACCCGGCGGCTGTCCCCACTGCAGGCTGCACCCCTCCCGGCCCCTCTCTGTCCGCCGCACGCGCGGGCAGCCTGCTCTCAGGAAGGAGTCCGGCCGCAGGCAGACGGGGCCAAAGGACTTGCACCCCCGACAAACGCTGGCTCGCGCCCCAACCCTGCGCCCGGGCAGGGTGATGGATGAAGGGGAGCCCTAGCCCAGCCACCTGCAGGCCAACAGACGCAGCTCGCCATAGACCAGGGGCGGGAGGAGGACTGCGTGTCCCACGGTGAGCGCAGGGCGCGCGGGGCTGGAAACCTAGGACGCGGCCCCGGAGTCCTGAGGGGCGCGGCCCCGGAGCTCCAGGAGGGCGCCTGCGAACCGCGCAGCCCCGGGCCGGCCGCCTGGCCATCTGGCTCACCCCAGCTCCCCGCGCGCACCTGGGCGCCCGCACACCCGCACGCCCTTGGCACCCCCGCACCCACAGCCGCGGGAGGGGGCCAAAGCCGCCGCCGCCGCCGCCGCCGCTCGGGCTCCCAGGGCCCCGCCCGCCCCTGCCCGCCCCGCCCGGGCCCGGGCCCTGGCGGGCGCCCCCCGCGGCGCTGCC